TATATATTATTCATTATTATATTATTAAATAATATTATAATATATATATAATTTAGATAATATAATATAATAATTATTATATTATATTATCTAAAAATAGATAATAAGTCGTTGTCGGACGATTAAGTGTTAATAATATAATAATTTAGATAATAATAATTATATTATTATATTATATTATCTAAATTATTATATTATTAACACTTAATCGTCCGACAACGACTTATTATCTATTTTTAGATAATATAATATAATAATATAATTATTATTATCTAAATTATTATATTATTAACACTTAATCGTCCGACAACGACTTATTCGCGAATAAACCGCAAATTTTCGCGATATTTCACTGTAACGAAGAAATAACTATAACCTTAGTAGACACCTTTCTGGTCAACTTTACTCAACTTTACTTAATTAGTCACGAGAATTGAGTTTATATAAGCATATTCGTAGCCCGCTGACAAGTTCATTTACCTAAACTTGACTCACGCTTGAATCGTTTCGAAAATAAAACCCGAAGTGGAGCATTGAAAACTGTACTCTTGGCACGCGAGATAACGTGTCATCGATAGCATTCAATTTCACGATTTCCCTTAGAACTTTATCGGGCGAATCTACACCGATGCGCCTTCGAGATATCGTGTTCCAGCAGTGCATTTTGATTTTCTAATTTTACTTTACAGCTCTTTGTCCGAAAACTTTCCCCAGGCTATATCGGTACAGGCTATATTTGTCTCTATGGACAAGTTTTTCTCGAGAAAGGATCGGTGCGTATCGAGCAAAAAAAACACAACAGTGATTCGTAGCAACGAATTTAGGGGAGCATTTCACGGCCAAGAGAAACGCGAAAATATGTTTTAGAAATTCGCGAGAAGCAACTGGAGAAGTAAAAAAAATCGAGGACACAATAAACAATGGCCGCCCTTTCAGTGAGACGAATGCTGTCAAATGTTCCACGCATCTCGTACTGCCGCAGCGTTGTTTAACGAAACAATGAATCGCGTATTCCACGTGAACAAGCTCGGACGGAATAACGAATGTTTACATACCTGGTTAATAGAAAACTTCTACCGGAGAAAGTGTCACGAAATACAGAACTGCACAGAGACTCGTGCACTACTGTGACTCACGTTACGCGTCACTCTATGGTTATTCACCACACCCGGGCAGGTAGCGCCATCTGTGAAAGGATCGTCTGTCACAGAGGTTCTCAACCCAGCCGTTCGAACACCTTATGGGGTCAATCGATCCACGGGCGTCGCTCCATCTCTCGCCGGAACTATTTCATTCGATCGATCGAAAATAGATTACGCTATGTTCGCTTTTAAACTATTTTCTGATAGAAAAGGCATCTGATAAAAATCGCACGACGACGATAACTTTCACCGCAAACTTCTGTTTTTCTAAGAAAATTGAAAAACATGAAAATCGACTGACGGTTGATAATTATATTATATTGTCATATTATTATTATTTATATTATTATTATATTATTAACTGACGTTTACTTTAAATATTGTTTAAACGTGTTTAAATATTTATATTTACAAGATATATACCGTTGTATTTGAGAGGAGCCACAAAGAGTTTTGTAAGAACACGAATACATGAATATAATATATAATATATATATATATATATATATATATATATATATATATATATATAATATAATATATAATATATATATAATATATATTACNTATATATATATATAATATAATATATATTATATATATAATATATATTACATGAATAATTACATAAAATTGCTATTTCGACGTCTTCTCGGAAGTCTATTTCGAATAGAAATAACTCCCAATTTGTGAAATGATTTTTTTTTTTTCTGGAGAGCTAATGTACTCTTAAAAGACCGCGTCATTGGAGGTGCCATAGTTGGAGCAAGTTACTGACAGCGAAAGCATTGCCTTATAAGGCAGCGCGAGGACCCGATATAGTTGGCGCGCGTTTCGTAATCGCGTTTGCGATGTCCTCTATAAGTATAATTGCGACGATATAGATTTTATTCGCTTGTTAACAGAGGAAATCGTTCTTTGTATTATTGTTAATTATCTTCGCTTTATCTTGTTAATTTTTCTTCGCTTTATCTTAATAGCAAATACTTTTAGCGTACACGGTATAAGAGGTCAAACGGTTAACACGTTCGTCGCCCAGCGCAATTCGGTCGAGTTTCTCGCGGGGCCCAAATTCGACTGTCGGAGCACCGAAACATAAACAGAGCGATAAATTTTTTAAATAAATAATTTTATATAAATTTAACCTTGACATAACCTGAACGTCAGGAAGCGAAAAAATGTAGAAAAACACTACGACCTATTGTTCGAATTGTCCAAAATCACCTCAATGTTTCAACGCACACCATACGACATAGTATAATGTAGTGTGTTATACTAAATATAAATTAGTAAAAAGTATAGTATAATATGTATATTTTCAGTATTTTTAAGTTGTATATCCTATATTTATATTTCAGTGCTTATTCCATTTTATTCCTTTTAAAATCCAACTGAAAGTCCTATAAATTGAATAAGAAGAGCGTCGCCCATGTTTGGGTGGTGGGGTCCCCGCGGAAGCATACCTGTCACCCAGGTCGATAAACAGAACGATAAATTTTTTAAATAAATAATTTTATATAAATTTAACCTTGACATAACCTGAACGTCAAGGAGCGCAAAAGAATGTAGAAAAAGCTACGACCTATTGTTCGAATTGTCCAAAATCACCCCAAATGTGTTTAGAATGTTTCAACGCACACCATACGACATAGTATAATGTAATGTGCTCCACTAAATATAAATTAGTAAAAAGTATAGTATAATACGTATATAGTATAATATTTTTAGTATTTTTAAGTTGTATATCCTATATTTATATTTCAGTGCTTATTCCATTTTATTCCTTTTAAAATCCAACTGAAAGTCCTATAAATTGAATAAGAAGAGCGTCGCCCATGTTTGGGTGGTGGGGTCCCCGCGGAAGCATACCTGTCACCCAGGTCGATAAACAGAACGATAAATTTTTTAAATAAATAATTTTATATAAATTTAACCTTGACATAACCTGAACGTCAAGGAGCGCAAAAGAATGTAGAAAAAGCTACGACCTATTGTTCGAATTGTCCAAAATCACCCCAAATGTGTTTAGAATGTTTCAACGCACACCATACGACATAGTATAATGTAATGTGCTCCACTAAATATAAATTAGTAAAAAGTATAGTATAATACGTATATAGTATAATATTTTTAGTATTTTTAAGTTGTATATCCTATATTTATATTTCAGTGCTTATTCCATTTTATTCCTTTTAAAATCCAACCGAAAGTCCTATAAATTGAATAAGAAGAGTGTCGCCCATATTTGGGTGACAGGGCCCCCACGGAAGCATACCCGTCACCCAGATCGATAAACAGAGCGATAAATTTTTTAAATAAATAATTTTTAAAAAAAGCTACGACCTATTGTTCGAATTGTCTAAAATCACCTCAAATGTGTTTAGAATGTTTCAACGCACACCATACGACATAGTACAATGTAATATGTTATACTAAATATAAATTAGTAAAAAGTATAGTATAATATGTATATTTTTAGTATTTTTAAGTTGTATATTCTATATTCTATATTTCAGTGCTTATTCCATTTTATTCCTTTCAAAATCCAACCGAAAGTCCTATAAATTGAATAAGAAGAGCGTCGCCCATATTTGGGTGACAGGGCCCCCACGCAAGCATACCCGTCACCCAGTTCTGCGACGAACGTGTCAAGAGGTCAAGTTTGCAGAAGGTAGTCGGCTCGGGGGGTCTCAGGAAGATACGGTGTGAATCTCGTGTCAAAATAAAACAAGAGCATTGGTTTCTTTATTCGTGCAACCAACGAACAATCAAGCTTATGTTACAAGATGCGCCTTTCGCTTGAGATTTACAAACAGTCGTCCTAAATTACGGTAACACTCTATATACACAATGATACACGTGGAATTGTAGTCTCGCGAAATTTTCTTCCGACGTGAATGCCGTCTTACGCGAATTTTTGCGCGGATTCGCGATCGTCGGTCGCGTTCATCATCCTCTTTACTTATTTACAGAAATCGGCGCTACGCTCAACACAATAACATAAATAAAGGCAACAATGGTTCGCGCGTCGGTGTGTCCTCCCACATATCTCTGTTCTGTACATAAATAATACCTGATTCCGAGGACGACTCTGACAGGGACTATCGCACGGACACTCCGTTGATGGTGATGCCGTTTCTGTTCGCGACCGGTTCGGCCTCGTAGTGTCCGGATCTTCCGTAATGTCTCCTGACGTTGTTGCCGTACCTTCGACAAGCGAAAATCCTTTGTTAATCTGGCTTTTCCAGAGGTTCGATCTATCAGCTTTTGAACTCACCCATAGGTACTGCCACTTATACTGTAAGGACTATCGTAGAGACCGTCTTCCGGGACATTCTCGTACATGGCGTTGGGCGTTCCATCGTTAAGCGTAGCGTAGGACATTACAGCGGCGTTCTGATCCTCCTTCCTTTCGGCAGCTTGCACGTTCTCCGTATTTTTCACAGGCGTAGCTTTCCTCCTGCAAGGAACACCGTGAAATTTTCATCGGAATTTTTACGCATGCTTTGTTCAACGATACAAAAGACAGCGCAGTTGAATCGGCATCTGTGTTAACCATTTGCACTCGAAGCTATTTTAAATCTAAATTAACTTTTCTGGCTTGTAGTATTTCCATTTTATATGACAAAGTGTATTTCATGCATATGACATCGAGTCTTGTGACTCGTACAATAGGTAGACTTTTAGCAATCTTTTGATAATATAGATATTGATAATATAGATATTGATAACATAGATATTATGATAATATAGATATTGATAATATAGAGATATTATGATAATATAAATATTGATAATATAGATATTATGATAATATAAATATTGATAATATAGATATTATGATAATATAGATATTGATAATAGAGATATTGATAACATAGATATTATGATAATATAAATATTGATAATATAGATATTGATAATATAGATATTGATAATATAGATATTATGATAATATAGATATTATGATAATATAGATATTATGATAATATAGATATTAAGATAATATAGATATTATGATAATATAGATATTGATAACATAGATATTATGATAATATAAATATTGATAATATAGATATTGATAACATAGATATTATGATAATATAAATATTGATAATATAGATATTATGGTAATATAGATACTGATAATATAGATATTATGATAATATAGATATTGATAATATAGATATTATGATAATGTAGATATTGATAATATAGATAATATAGATAATATAGGTGATAATATATAATGATTGATAATATAGATATCATCTTGAAACATGATGTAACAATTTTAGTGTTGCCTCAGAGTCACCAGTCGAGTGCAAAGGTTTAAGCATTCTACTAAACACTGGGAAGACGACAAACGAGCTTCCACTAGATTCGTTCACCGTTGGCTACCCGACTCGTTGAACGATCTACGGTCTCGCGATCCAGTTGCAAACGATTACTTACAGTCTTAGGTAAACGAGTCCAAGTATAATTAATATAAATATGATGACTCCGGCACCGATCCCGACGCTGGTACCCACGCCTTGCGCTTCCGCGACCTCGTTCGGCATGACTGTCGAGCAAACCAAGAAAACGTAAACGCCGATCGTTCTAAAATAAAAAAAAAAACAAAAACGCCGAGATATCTCATTATTATCAGAAATCGCGCTTACACTCGCACTTGGGCTCCTCGCCGCTCCAAGATCCGGTGTCCAAACATTTTCTCAGAAACGGGCCGACTCTCTCGAACTGCGGTAGGCAATGATACTCTGCGGTTCCGCCGTAGGTTGTGGTCCCGTTCACCACGATCACTCTTCCGTTCTCTATGGGCCCCGGGTGCTTGCACTCGACGGCTATGGACAAGTTTTTGTTGTCACGCGCTACTTTCGTAACCGAGTGTGTGTTTTTTCTGTTTTTTTTTTTTTTAAACGAGCCATTAAGCGTTCGTACGCTTGTTCGGAAAGACAAAACGAGAGCGAGACTACTTACAGAAACAAGCGGGCACGCTTCCACTCCAAGAGCCGTTCTGCAAGCAGACTCTGGCCTCGTTTCCTTCCATGTAGTAGCCACGCGGGCACGCGTAGTGGGCGATGCCGCCCACGCTGTGCGTCGATACCTGCGTAGACAGGACTCCTTCCTTCTCCGGGTCCTTGCACCTGATTTCTGTGAACAGTTTCCAGATGAATGGAGGACCTTCTAAGGGGATCGGCTTACGCGTCGAACGGCGCGATGCCACAATTATACTGTCCGACACGATTTTTGATTTCCTATAGCCACTATGAAATTCTTGTAGAGCTTCACTCCCCGATCAAGGATCCGAAAACCGAATTGCTCCATCACCCTCAGTTTTTGAAAAAAACGTGCTTCTGTAAAAACCCAAAATTTTCGACAAAAATGAGGTATAGCATGCAAAGTAAAAACGTTAGAAAGTTCTAATCGGTGTTAAAAGGTAGAGGAGAGTTTCCCGAATACAGTGGCATACGATTTATTAATTGTTTTTGGTCCTGAATAACTATAAATTAATGTCAATGTTTAAAAAAGCATCGAGGCGCGCCGTTTCTCCGCAATATTTTCGTACTTTCACGAAAAGTTGTTTGTCCTGCACGAAAACTCTACCCAGGATCGGATTCTGTAGACATTTCTGAAGAAGAAACGACCCGGTGAAAGTGTCGAAACGATATGCATTTCGAGTAGATCGAGAAAATGTTCGATGGCAACATGTACACGACGTTTTGCCGCCATATCCTTCGCTGCTCGCTTCTCTCTGTCCAACAGGGCCGAAGCTACGCGTAATCAACACCGATGGAGGGATCCAATGGGGCACCCACTTTTCGTAAATAATATTTGAATTTATTTTAGTGCTTCAATGTTCTGTTTTTTTCAACATATTTCTGTGGATAATAATCACCAAACTGTGATATATTTACGGAAAAAAATCACACCAGAGTATTTACAGTGGGTAACGAAAGTATTCTAACACTAGTACAATTTTGACTTCTACGCCATATAATTAAATAAATATTTAAATATATATTTAACAATATGTTTCAAGAAGTTTAACGTTTTGAAAATGATTATTTATTCATGATCATATTATCGCTATAATTTAAATGTTAACTGTATACATGATATACTTGTAATTCGAACAAATTCAGAATAAAATGAATATTTTTTGTTCATTATTTTTCTTTTATTATTTCTCCATTTGAAAATTAATAATCTTACTTCTATATTCCTAAAACCGTGTTTTTCGTACCTTTTAATTTATGATTCACAGTTTAGTGATTATTATCCACAGAAATATGTAAAAGAAGACAGCACATTCGAGTACTAAAAAAAATTCAAAGTAGTACGTCCCACACGCAAAGTGGGTGCCCCATTGGATCGCTCCATCGATGTTGATTACGCGTAGCTTCCTCCCTGTCGGACAGAGAGAAGTGAGCTGCGAAGCACATGGCGGCAAAACATCGTGTACGTTGCCGACGAACATTTTCTCGACCTACTCAAAATGTACATCGTTCTGGCGCTTCTATCGGGCCGTTTCTTCTTCAGAAATGTGTACAGAATCCGATCCTGGGTAGAGTTTTCGTGCTGAACAAAGAACTTCTCGTAAAAATACAAAAATACTGCGGAGAAACTGCGCGCGTCGACAATTTTTTAAACTTTGTCATAATTTATTGCTATTTAGGACCAAAAAAAATTAATAAATTGCATGCCACTGTATTCGGGAAACTCTCCTCTATCTTTTAACACCGATTAGAACTTTCTAACGTTTGTACTTTTCATGCAATACCTCATTTTTGCCGAAAATTTTAGGTTTTTACAAAAGCTCGTTTTCTTCCAAAACTGAGAGTGATGGAAAAATTCGATTTTCGGATTTCTTGTTCGGGGAGTGAAGCTCTACAAGAATTTCACAGTGTCTACAGGAAATCAGAAAAAAAGTTTGATTTCGTCGGGGCAGTGTTACCTTTGCAAACCGGCGTGTCGCTGCTCCATGTACCATTTTCCAAGCACAATCTCCTGGCGAATCCGTCGAGCTCGAAGTTACCGTCGCACTCGTATAGCGCGGCTGCCCCGTAATAGGTCGCGTTCGACGTTAGCGTGTACTTGCCGTGCTGAATTTGCTCGGGCTTGCTGCAATCGACGTCTGGAAAAAGATCGTTTCCAAAGTGTCAGCGCGTTTGTTCCGGCAGCTGTTCGATCGGGACCGAAAGAAATTGTTCTTACAGACGCAACGCGGAACCTCGCCGCTCCACTTTCCATTGTCCTCGCAGGTGGACAGAGGCTCTCCGATCACCTTGTATCCCCTCTCGCAGCGATACTTGGCGAGAGCGCCGATTTTATAGGAAGTCGCGCCCGTGTTCGAGTTCTCCGGCGTCCCGGTGCGGATCAACGTTCTCCCGTACATTCGGTCGTTTCCGGTCACCGAGAGGATCCCGTGTTCCGCGTACACTGGCTCTGGACACCGGATTTCTGCAACCGAACGCGTTTCAATCGGTTCATTGGCGATCGTTCGCGCGCGAACGGATCTCCTCGTCACGGTTCTCTGGGTACCTTCGCACTTCGGTGTCGCGTCGCTCCATTGGCCATTGTCTAAGCAGTATCTCCTCGACACCCCGTTCAGCCTGTAATTTCTCGTGCAGCTGTAAGTGATTTCGCTTCCCAGATGAGTCGTCCCGTTCGCGTATTCCACGGCTCCGTTCAACACCGGCAGAACTTTGCCGCACTCCACATCTGCGACACATCGAACGCGATTTCGTTCGTTGTTAATCGTGCCGAACTCGGCCAACGTCAATTACGCTGTGCTCTGAACCGCGTAACTCTTGCGTTTTACTTGAGACGTTTATTCTGGGAGGGTGTGTCCCATAAGTTCTTTCCGCGCCGCGCTATGAATGACTCTAAATGGCTGTGTTTATATCAGGTTGGGGAATAAGTTCGTAGCGTTTTTATATTTTCTTTTATTTCACAACGATTTCTGACTGTTCGACAAAGCGTATAATATTCATTCGATAGTGCTCTTTCTGCTCTACGAAACTGTGCTAATCGTCTTTTCGAGTAGTTTAATTTCTTATTACTTTTGAGGCTTAGAAATGGAATATCCACGAGGTGAAAAGCAACATTTTCGACGCCTTCTCTTCTTCGCTTTTCATCGGGGCCAAAAAGCTGCCGAAGCAGCCCGGGACATTTGCAACGTATACGGAGAAGGTGTCATAGGCGAGTCTACAGCGCGGAAATGGTTCGCGAAGTTCAAAAATGGCGATTTCGACGTCGACGACACGCCCCGCAGCGGAAGACCTTCTGAATTCGACGAAGATCGGAAAGACGACATATAAAATGAGGCTTCCTGAAGGATGGAAGAAGGCAATAGAGCAGAACGGTTCATATATAACTCGATAAATCAACCTTAAACAACAAATATCGTGTAATCGCTTCGTATCAGAAAAAAGGAAAGAAAACTTATGGGACACCTTAATAGATACTTTTGTAGACTGTTCAGACAACGTGATAAGATACGACAGATGCTTCGAACTGGAATGATATCGCGAAGGAATTTAGCTGCAGTTCCTTCCTTTCTGCCTGCATTTTTCATATCAAAGATCTCCAAAGAAGTTGAACGCAGAAGGCGAGGTCCAGAGATTTGATTGCTCGGCCAATCTCGGATACGCCGAGCTCTGAACCGCGTAACTCTTACGTTTTACTTGAGACGTTTATTCTAGATACTTGTAAACTGTTCAGACAACGTGATAAGATACGACAGGTGCTTCGAAGTGGAATGATCGCGATGGAATTTAGCTGCAGTTCCTTCCTTCTTGCCTGCATTTTTCATATCAAAGATCTCCAAAGAAGTTTGGAGATTTGACTACTAGAGATTTGTGGCTACTATAGAGATTTGGCTACTCGGCCAAAGGACACAGAAATCGTCCGTGACCGCGTTGTAGGTGTTCTATACGAAGGACAAGCTTACATTCGCAGGTGGGAACTTCGCCAGTCCATTCTCCGTCTCTGCCGCACGTGTGTCTGGCCTCCCCTTGAAGCAGATATCCTGCCTCGCAATGGTACTCGATGGCACTGTGAACGTTCAGATCGTACCCGACCACGTAGCTTCCTGTAGGCACCTCGGGCTCCTCGCAGGTGATCACTGAAAAACATCGGAAAATAGATCGAACATTTTCATCCAGTCCGCTCCGAGTTGCAATGTTCGAAGCTTACGCTCGCAAGACGGCGTGGCGTGGCTCCATTTTCCTTCTCTGGTGCACTCGTGCTTCGCTTCGCCGACCAGCCAGTAGTCCTCCTGGCACGTGTACACCGCCAAGCTCTTCACCGTAGTGGTGCCGTTGATCAGGGTCACGGTGCCGTACTCGATTTGAGCTGGTGCACCGCAATCGACGAACTTGCATTGGGGCGCCTTGCCGGACCACTCGCCGCCGACGTCGCAGGTCAATACCTGTGTACCCAATTAAACGGTGCACCTCTTGATCCCGAGGCTCCCCGAAATACAGAGTTAACCCTTAGCACTCCGAACCATTCTGGACGTTGGCTATCAGCTACTCGGCGCCACTTTTCGGCAGAAATGGGCATTTACAGACTCTCGTATTATTTAGTATGGTTTTGGAATTAATTAACATATTGTAATGATATTGGACTTATATGAACTTGGCTGAAATCGAGAAATTTGCTAAACAATCAATATTTTATTTTTTATAATTTTGTTATTGTTTGTTTTTCGGGCATTTACAGACTGTCGTATTATTTAGTATGGTTTTGGAATTAATTAACAGATTGTAATGATATTGGACTTATATGAATTTGGCTGAAATCGAGAAATTTGCAAAAAAATCAATATTTTACTTTTTATAATTTTGTTATTGTTTGTTTTGCGGGCATTCACAGACTCTCGTATTATTTAGTATGGTTTTGGAACTAACTAACATATTATAATGATATTGGACTTATATGAATTGGCTGAAATCGAGAAATTTGCTAAACAATCAATTTATTTTTTATAATTTTGTTATTGTTTGTTTTGCGGGCATTTACAGATTCTCGTATTATTTAGTATGGTTTTGGAAC